TTACTGTTTAATTGAACTCTTTCTATATTTTATATTTTCATCTTTAATATTTATAATCATTCACATAATTTAACCAACACAAGTTCACAACCAAGTTAAACCACTATAACTTAGTAAAGCTTGCTCTCCCAGGTAGTTTTTATTAAAATCGATAAAATGACTTCTTTCTCCGGCTTGAGATTATAGTATATTGTTTTTTTCTATATAACTTAACCCCATATTTTATATATGTAGGTCTCTCCTTTTTTTTGCAAATCACGAATTAATAATTTAATTATACCATCCAAAAGGCTTCTCAATACTGGGATGCATGTCGTTGTATTTTCTTTCGCCATCCAACTTTACTTACACCCAGTTCTACAAATTCGTTCTCACTCAAATCCTTAATTAAATCAACTGTTATTTCTTCATTTACAAAAGCTTGTTCAAATCGAATATAAGTACCAGGAGTATTAAGTTCATTATCTAAACCTTCTAAAAATTCACGAATGGTAGGTATTTTTTTTTTAAATACTTTAGGTATTTTTTTGTTAAATACTTGTTCATAATTAGGAGGACTAATTTCTTTTATTACAATGAAAATTGTTAATTAGGCAAATTCCATTTGCTTCATGTTTTAATAAACAATACATATGATTTATGCCATATACTTTACATACCAGTTCTCGGAACGACTGAACTACGATTTGTTGAGAATATTTGATAATCTTGTAACATAATTTTTTTTCGATTTTATTATTTTATTGCAATAAAAGATTGTTAATTAGATAATTCTCATTTTTTAATAAACAATAAAATATAATATGCTTACCAGGTCTATTTGGAATTTGATTTGTTTGTCCGATGGAGAAATCCATTTTCGCATTTGCCCTGGCACAAAAAGGGATGTTAAAAAACAGAAAACCTCAACTTCAACTAAATATTTAATGATACATACCCATCTGTAATGCTTCCACAGACATTATAAGTGGATCCAGAAACTTTAATACAACTGCCAGGATATTTTCTCTTGTTTTCTGAATGTAATCTCTTGTAACGAGAATAATGATTATTCTTGGTTACTGGTTTATCACATATGTTAATAGCCATTGAATTTCTCCCTTTTTTTAAGTAGGATTTGATCTATTTTTTAATTAAATAAATTAGATATCAAAATCGCCTAACTTTGAAATAGACACATGTCTAATGATACTTACAGCCCATGTGATTATAAGGTACTCATCTCTATCATGGGGTCTATTTTTATATTGCACTTCATATGATAAAATTCCTCGTGAAACGCATTTGTCTGTAATGTTTCTATTTAATAAAGAATATTTAGCGTTATGCGAGAAGACATTTCAAAAATTGGTCGTCTACAGGTTCTTACCTGGTTTGAGATTCTTGAAAATTGATGCTATATTCTGATAGATCCTTATTTTTACTACCACTCCTATACCTTCTCCCTGAGAAATATTGAGGGTTGTAAAGCATAATATTGGGATGATTATTTGTAATTTGGATTTTTAAGCCTACATTTGCAGATTTAATCAATTTCTCAATCCTGCTCTCGAAGACAAGGTAGAGACCATGTAAAGCATTTGGAATCTGATTTGTGGCCAGCTCTGAAGAAAGCAAAAAGAAAGAAGAAGAGGGTTCATCAGAAAAGGAGAGAGAAAGAGAAAAATTCGAAGAAAGAAGAGGAAAAAAAGAATGATGCACATTATTATTATAACTCCTTTCATGGTGAGTTTAAAATATTTACGGTCAAAGATTTTTGATCAATCATGAATTTTAAAATGCATAAATAAAACTTACGAGAATTTGCCATACAATAATGTCAATAAAGTTCTGGTGAATATTGTTTATTTTTTTTTTTGAATCCGAGTTAAAAATTGATATAACTCAGAGTTATTGTTCTAAATTGAAAATTTTTCTTTCAATAAGATATGTGGACAATAAAATAATCATAGCTTTATTTTCGTTTAAATAATTATAATTCATGTGTAAATAATTTCGATGTGAACAAAAAAGTTGTGTGCGCTTATGCGTCATATAAATATTTATATAAATTAAATTAATTATTTTTACTATTTCAGTAAAAAAAAAAAAATAAGAAATATTTATTGATGCGCAAAGTCGTACATTAATTATATCATAACACAAACAAATGATCTCTCTAGTAAAAAATGTATTTTGTGTTTTATTATTACTTTGAAATATATTACCAATTTGCTCCTAATTGGTTTGAGAAATTGACTAGGAATCAGTTAGGAATCAGCAAAAAACTATATGTAATTAACAGAACATTTATATAAACAAAAACATTTAAAGAATTGACCAATATGTTACGCAAACTTTGCTTCTATATCTTAAGCAACTAAGTAAAGTTGTTTTTTACTAATAAAATTACAATAATAATAATAAAAACAAGACAAAACAACAATATTTAACATTAGAAGAGAAAAGTAAAATAGGTTTTCGCATGGTGTGGGAATCATTCTCATGGGTTTTGAGGTCAGATGACAATTGTTTATTAAGAGTTTTGGCGAATATTCTACATAACAATTATTGCAAAAAAAAAAAATATTGATATATGTAAAATTTTGAGTTAACACTTTTATTTAGGTACCAAAAGGTAGTTAACATAGATTTTTATTGATTCTTCGAAAATAAATTTCTTACTCAACAAACATTTAGATCTTCAATGTGATTGGATAAAAATGCCATTCTGAAAATAAATAGATTCCTAGAAGGTTGAAAGGTTGAAGATTAGCTTATTAACAACACAGTAATTAGAACTGTTATAGTAACTTTCTTATTTCTTTATTACTGTATCTACGGCTTAAAGAAAGTTAATATCTGGATTGTAGACACTAATGACGCTAAGGTTGCCTGCCTAAACCTATTTTAAATTTGGCAAAATGGAAAACCTTAAGTTTTCCAGATTTTTATTATAATTTTAATAGTTTCAACAGTTATATGAGTTTAATATAGTTTTGACATATTGCAAGTTTTACTTGACTTATTAATAAGTATTTAATAAGGTTTGTCAATTTCATCAGGAAAAATAATTAAGCGTAATATTACGATTATCACGTGACTTACGGAAGTTTACGCCTAAACAATCTTCGACCACAATTTACGCGATTTTCTACTAAGGTGTTTCTGTATAAAAATATTTTAATAGAAAATCGTTCCTAGATTTAATATAAGAATAGATTGATTAAAAATAAAATAAATCTAGAATATTAAACTTTGTACAATGACAATAAAAAAATTTTCTTGAATAAATTATATGAAAAAAAATACCGTTTTTACTATGGCCATTTAGATTCAAAACAAAGGGCAGTTAAAATATGCATGAACATATTTTATGGTGAAGTGGGTAACAATCTCTCTCAATTCTTCTAGCTGTTGGTGTTATTTCAGCGGGGCAACATAATATTAAACTTATTTTATTTAATTAAAATCGTTAATTTATTTAAATAAAAAAATATTAGTTAAAATTTTTAATTTATTTTAATAATAATTAAATTAAATTAACCAAATATTTATTTAGAAAAATACATTTTATTTTTTACATATTATTATTAAATTTAAAAATAAAATAAAAACATACCTAATCGATTAAAAAATAAAATAAATCTAAGAATATTTATTTTTGTACAACGATGTTCGGATCCAATGAAATTTTTTTAGTAAGAAATAAATTACATGAAAAAAAATACCGTTTTTACTATGGCTGTTACAGACCATTACTAAATAATAAAAATATTTATTTAGAAAAATAACATTTTATTTATTATTAAAATTAAAAATAAAAAAAAACCAATTGCAAATAAATAAACTATTAAATTAATTATTTAAATTAATTTATTTTTTAATTAAATTAAATCTTTAAAAAAATTAAAAAAAAAAAAGTATTTCGTTTAAAATTAAGTATTTCGAAAAAAATAAAAAATATGAAGAAAATTATTTTTTTTAGGACGTTTTTGTTAAAAATATTTTTTTATATTTAGTTTGTAATCATGAATATATCGTCTTCCGTTTAAAATTAGGTAGATCGAAATTTTTTTTTTTAGAACGTTGGAATACACATGAAAAGATTGAAAAAATATTTAATTTGTAAATATATACCAATAATAATTATAAATAATTAAAGTTTACGGTTGTTTTTAATTATCTCCGTAACTTTATTTAAAAATTAGGTATCAGTATGTATTACCATTATATTATTGAATTCTTTTTTTTCCATTTCGGGTCACGAAAATCTTTCCAAAAAAGAGTATCGTTGGCAAATTTTTAGAAAATTTTTGCTTAGAACTTCCCAGTATTGGATGAAATCATCCCGAGTATTGAATTCGCCGAAACAGGAGTTAGACTCTATACTACGATAATATATAATATAGATCAATATTTTTATCCTTTATGAGTTAAAATGATTTTGTGATCAACGGCACATATTTTCGCTTGTGTGATAATAAAAAACAATGACTGCATTCTGTGTATAAATTATCATCATACGTTTTTCCGCTGATTGATGCAGAAACTTGAGATAGAAATATAATATTTCCGATTATAGGTAAATCTTGTTCTAATAAATATTTTTAAACTTTATGTCGTGGTAAAGATCCAAATTTATTTATGCAAATAGAAATTTTTCTCACAATATTAATTAAAGTATAATATATTTATATTCTTTGTTTAGATTAAATGCCGCCCAAATAACAAAAAGGAAATACTACAAATATTAACAATAAGATTAGCAAAATTTTATTGTTAATATTTTTAATGCTTAATAATAACGCACACTTATTGCGCAAATTTAATATTATTCTAAGTTTACATTTACATCCAAACTTACATCGATGGATACATTCATCACTGAAGATGAAACTTAATAACTTTAATTAAACTTATATCGACGGATGCATTCATCCATTGGAAGGTTTAATGGTAAAGAGATAACTTAATTAGTTCATTGTAATAAATTACTATTTTCACAATATGTTTTAATAGTGCCTCCATATTAAAAGTAATCTTGAAAGTAAAGTAAGAAAGTATGACTTTAATTAAACTGAATCTATATCAATGGATACATTCATCTATTGGTGGTTTGTGGTAAAGAGTAATAACTAATTAATACATAGATGATAAATAAATTACTATTCTCGCTACATGTTAATAACCGGTTTATTTTCTCTCTATATAGATTATACTGTACATACTGACTTTGAAATAAACGCAACTTTAATTCTAAAAAAAAATGCAGTTCTTATACCACATTCAATGTTCAGTTTTTGTCTTCGCTTTATTTATTTCCTATAACCCAACGATATGCAAAAGGTACAA